GGGAGGGAACTTGCCATTAGGAGAACCCCGTGGGCAGCCATGCCTCGCCACCAGCCACTCCTAGACCTGTCTATCTGGTGTTCACAGAACAATCTGTCACTGAATGTCCATAAAACCAAAGAACTGATTATGAACTTCAGGAAACATGGACAGGACCATGCCCCACTCATCATCAACGGAGAACAAGTGGAAACTCCCTACGATCAGATTCCTTGGCATTCATATTTCAGCTGATATCTCCTGGTCCCCTAACACCAAGGCCATAGTGAAGAAGGCTCAGCAGCAGCTGCACTTCCTGCGGGTTCTCAGGAAAAACAATCTGGATAAGAAGCTGTTGCTGGCTTTCTATAAAGCCTCTGTGGAGAGCACTCTGACATACTGTCTGGGTGTGTGGTATGCAGGCTTCTCAGCTGAGGACAGGAAAACTACAGAGGGTGATAAACACAGCTCAAAAGATCATTGGTTGCCCTCTGCCCTCCCTGGAAGACGTAGCCAGGTCCCATTGCCAAAGCAGAATCAAGGCCATCATAGAAGACCCCTCACACCCTGGCAATTATCTTTTTGAGCTTCTGCCATCTGGATGGCGCTTTAGGTTAATAAAATGCCACACCACTAGACTAACAAATAGTTTCTTTCCCCGGGCCATCCAAACTGCAAATAAATACAAAGTCACTACCTTATCAAGATGTGAAATAGCAATACCTCATCCAGATGTATAATAACATATTACAGTACAATCCATCTCTTGTGTATTACACTTGGCAAAGCTCTCACAGTGTTGAATGTATATTCTGTGTATATTCATAGATATTGTACTCTAATTGCAAATGGAGACGCAGATACTCTTATTTTTCTTATCTTCATTTTTAAGTGCTCTGGTATTGTATTGTGAACAGTTGCTGGGGTGCATCCACAGTTTCATTGTACCTGTACAGTGACAATAAAGTTCTTCTTATCTACCTTCTTATCCTAACAGCTGATCATGGCGGAGCCCAGAGGGCTCCCTACCCCCGCCAAGTGCCTTTGCTGCAGACCCAGGTCAGCGGGCAGGCGGCAGTGGCATGGATGTCTGCCAGCAGTATTTCAGCCGGTTTTGGGCCCTCCGTAGCTTCCACGGTTCCCGTCGGCACTGGCGTCTCTGTCGCCAGTGCTGTCTACAACAACAGCGTCTGAGTCGCTCCCGTTTTGCCCCCCGTTGCCATCCCCGCAACTACAGGGAAAAAAAAACATTTTAAGGTACCTGGGAGTGCAGCATGGTGCATTTTCATTTAATCCCGAGCGGCTGGCCGAGCGAGTGCTCCAGCCTAGGGCTCTGCAAGTTTCCAAAAGTCCCGGTGCGCAGCCCGTTCCTGTATTCCAAACACGCCCAGGCCGAGCTGCAGCTGTCCCTCTCTCGCCAGCGCTGTCTCCAATAGCAGCAGCAGTGGCGGGAACCGTGGAAGTTACAGAGGCAGCTCCCCCGCCTGAGAAGTGGTTGAAATGGTTCCCACCGCTGCTGTCACTGTTGTTGGAGACAGCGCTGGCGAGAGAGGAATGGCTGCAGCTCGATCTGGGTGTGCTTGGAATGCAGGAACGGGCTGCGCACCGGGACTTTTTGAAACTTGCCGAGCCCGAGGCTGGAGCACCAAGGGTCACAGTGGCAGAGACGCTCTCTCGGCTCTTCTCACACCCAACCAACTGCTCGGAATTAAACGAAAACGCACCGTGCTGCGATCCCAGATACCTTAATGTTTTTTTTCCCCTGTTGTTGCGGGGACGGCGATGGGGGGAAAAGTGGGGGTGACTCAGATGTTGTTGGAGATGGCACTGGCGAGAGGCGCCAGCGGGAACCATGGAAGCTACAGAGGCCCAAGAAGCGGCTGAAACGCTGCCAATGGACATCCACGCCGCCACCGCCCACCTGCTGACCCGGGTCTGCAGCAAAGATGCTTGGTGGGTGTAGGAAGCCCTCCGTGCTCCACCATGATCAGCCGTTAGGAGTGGCTGGTGGTGAGGCTGCCCGCGGGGCACCCTAGGCGAGGGTGCGTGGGTGGGAGAATTAATTCACCTCCGAAAAGACGCCCTAGCTGGTTTTTCAGGGCTCAAAAAAAAAAAAAAATACCGGGCCTTATTATATGAGAAACACAGTATACATACACAAACAAACACGTGTGTGTGTGTGTGTGTGTGTATCTCACATATACTATTATTTGAAGTCCTATATTTATCGGGATTAGGATTCATGGAATGTACTTTTAGATACATTCTGACATTTAATTTGGCTTTCAAATGGTTATTAATGTTTCTAGAACACAGCTGGTTGCTTTTACATTTAGCTTTATTTAAAGAAAAATTAGGGGAAGGTGAAAGAAATAGAAGGGGCATTTGGATCGGTGCAGGTTATAAATAGTATGCAATAAATAAAAATATATGCAGGCAAATTTTAAATTATTAGTTTTTTTCAGGTGCTAATACAGTAAATAGAAAATGTTAAAAAGAGTACATAACAGAATTCTGTGTAGTCTTAGTTTGAAATATATCCCAGTAGGTGTATTTGGCAAGAATATAAATAAAATGCTATGTCTTCTCTTGCAGAACCCTGGATTTGACTTCAGTGGAGCAGAAATTTCTGGAAATTATACCAAAGGAGGGCCAGACTTTTCTAGTCTTGAAAGATAATGTGTCCTTTCAGCTATATTTCCTCCAGTTTGTACAAAATGACAAAGCATTAAGCTTCAGAATAGCTTATTGTTGTTGTTTTTTTCTGGACAGCTTTAAACCACAAAATAATGATTGTTACCAGAATTGCACTAACGTAATTAAAAATAAACATTTCATGCATACTGAGACCAATATTATTGGTATGATGACACTCTTGTTCAAGGTTAACAGCAGTTTCAATTGCTACATTTTAAATTGTTAATTGATATGCCAGTAATATTGTTTTGAAAGTCTGTGATCTGGCTTATTCTTTGGCAAAATATATAAGTGAAAAACATTACTACCTAAATGCTCTGGCTTTTTCCACTGGCAATTAACTAAAAGAACTTAGAAATATGGAAATATATTTTCAAATACATTGTTACATGGTATAAGAACAAATTTTGAAGGTGAATGATTAAAAACAGATTTTCTATCCTGAAAATTGGTACTAAGCCAGTTTCAACACTATTTCACATAGTCATTAAAACTAGTAATGTTAAAATCTGATATAATTACCTTCCATAAATTTGTGCCAAACTGTACTGTCAGTCAAACCATAACATGCAATATGCATCCTTGGGTAAAGCCATTTAGCATTCATAAATTTATCCCTGACACTCTTTACAAGAATAGGAGTTCCGGTGTACATTCTCTTAATGAAATTCAGAGAACCATTTTGGACACTTTAAATAACTATTTCATGCTTTTGACTTTTGCTGTTTTGACTAGGGGTACCTTTGTGTTATATATCAAATTTGCTGGAACACTCGATAAAATAATTCAAGCATGTGAACTTATTCATGTGACATAGTTCTGTTTGATCTGGTACTTATATTTTTCTGCAGCCCAAGGTGTGTTTTATACTCAAGTATGTAACACTCTTATTAAAAAGATCTAGATTGTATCCAGTGATGTTCTTTTTCTGGACTACCCAAAAAGTTCCCTTTTGCATCCCATATTGGCTCCAGCATGTTAGGGTATATGGAACCAGTGGCAGGACAAAACACTGAGCTGAATTCTCATTGAGTGACTGAAAATCCATTTGGACAACATGGCATATATCTTTTGTTTATATATGTAAGAAGAAAGTACATACTTCGTATGTAATTAAAAATTCTAATAGTTGTAACACTTTTTGCTTTATGCATGTATATACTCATCCAATTAACAGAATGAGAGATAATTGTAGTCTGATTCACTCCCTAACCATGTGTGTACCCTATCTAATTTTTGTATCTTTATGCTTAGACATGTTTAGTTATCTATAGTTAAGTCAAGTAGTAATTTTCATGTTTAAAAAAGATTTAAACTACCTCACAGTTTGTTCTATAGTATGTTTTAATTGTACATTGCCAGGGAATGCCAAGTGTTTTGTCTGCCAAGAATACAAGGCTGCTATTTCAGCTATTAAGATGCCACAAGGAGAACTTGTATTGTTTATACAAATTGAGAAAATGGAATCAATAAAATTGATTTTGTATGCCTAAGGCAGACTTGAATACAAAGCGAGAGGAAGGGAAAAATACACTACTCAAAAAAATAAAGGGAACACTTAAACAACACAATATAACTCCAACTCAATCACACTTCTGTGAAATCAAACTGTCCACTTAGGTAGCAACACTGATTGACAATCAATTTCACATGCTGTTGTGCAAATGAAATAGACAACAGGTGGAAAGCATAGGCAGTTAGCAAGAAATCCCCAATAAAGGAGTGGTTCTGCAGGTGGTGACCACAGACCACTTCTCAGTTCCTATGCTTTCTGGCTGATGGTTTGGTCACTTTTGAATGCTGATGGTGCTTTCACTCTAGTGGTAGCATGAAACAGAGTCTACAACCCACATAAGTGGCTTAGGTAGTGCAGCTCATCCAGATGGCACATCAATGCGAGCTGTGCCAAGAAGATTTGCTGTGTCAGCATAGTGTCCAGAGCATGGAGGTGCTACCAGGAGACAGGCCAGTACATCAGGAGACGTGGAGGAGGCCGTAGGAGGGCAACAACCCAGCATCAGGACCTCTACCTCCACCTTTGTGCAAGGAGGGACAGGAGGAGCACTGCCAGAGCCCTGCAAAATGACCTCCAGCGGGCCACAAAGGTGCATGCGGCTGCTCAAACGGTCAGAAACAGACTCCGTGAGGGTGGTATGAGGGCCTGATGTCCACAGGTGGGGGTTGTACTTACAGCCCAACACTGTGCAGGATGTTTGGCATTTGCCAGAGAAAACCAAGATTGGCAAATTCGCCACTGGTGCCATGTTCTTCACAGATGAAAGCAGGTTCACACTGAGCACATGACAGACCTGACAGGGTCTGGAGATGCCGTGGAGAACGTTCTGCTGCCTGCAACATCCTTCAGCATGACTGGTTTGGTGGTGGGTCAGTAATGGTGTGGGGTAGTATTCTTTAGGGGGCCGCACAGCCCTCCATGTGCTCGCCAGAGATAGCCTGACTGCCATTAGGTACTGAGATGAGATCCTCAGACCCCTTGAGACCATGTGCTGGTGCGGTTGGTCCTGGGTTCCTCCTAATGCACGACAATGCTAGGCCTCATGTGGCTGGAGTGTGTCAGTAGTTCCTGCAAGACGAAGGCATTGATGCTATGGACTGGCCTGCCCGTTCCCCAGACCTGAATCCAATTGAGCACATCTGGGACATCATGTCTCACTCCATCTACCAACGTCACGTTGCACCACAGACTGTCCAGGAGTTGGGGGATGCTTTAGTCCAGGTGTGGGAGGAGATCCCTCAGGAGACCATCTGCCACCTCATCAGGAGCATGCCCAGACATTGTAGGGAGGTCATACAGGCACGTGGAGGCCATATACACTACTGAGCCTCATTTTGACTTGTTTTAAGGACATTACATCAAAGTTGGATCAGCCTGTAGTGTTTTTTTCCACTTTAATTTTGAGTGTAACTCCAAATCCAGACTACCATGGGTTGCTAAATTTGATTTCCATTGATAATTTTTGTGTGATTTTGTTGTCAGCACATTCAACTATGTAATGAATGAAGTATTTAATAAGAATATTTCATTCATTCATATCTAGGATATATTATTTTTGTGTTCCCTTTATTTTTTTAAGCAGTGTACACTAAGCCCAAATAACATTCTCACAAATAATTATCAAAAGTACTTATCTGAGGATGTTGGAAAAAAATATTTTGACAAGGCAATTCTCTTCAAACCATGATGTGCTCACAGGAAGGAAAAGTATGAAGGTTTTGGAATGATCTTTTCAATCCTTAGATGAATGTTGAAAATCTGCAAAAAATCTCAAAACATGCAGCCAATGGAGACCGAATATAGTTGAGTTGGAAGAAATCTACAAAGGGATGAGGGATAAATCCTACAAGAAATTCTTAGCTGGCTAGAGGAAACCTGAAAGCTGTTATTTCTGCCATAGGTGTACTTTATTAAACTCATATGCCATCTGACAATGACTTACTAGAGTCCAAAGTGTAAGTGTCCAGACTTTTGCACTTGCTCTACTTTACATTTTTTTTTTGAATCCCTGAACAATTGTGATAAGTATGCATTTAAATTTGCAGGAAAATTGTATTCACTGAAATGTACTACTTGAACAGGCGAATTTAAATCCTTGAACATAATTGTAGATGGTTTTGTCATTCTCTATAGGTAGGGTTCCAAAGTGGTGTTCTTAACTAAATGCCTTAAATCTAGGCTAGTATCATCTGGGGACTTCTAGATATATTTTATTATTCTTGGCCATATTGGCTAAGATGACTGGAAGCTGAAATCCAAAACATCTAACCACCATTGATGAAGTGGTAAGAGTATAGTATTGCAGGCTCACTCTGTCTACAGCCTGAAGTTTGGTCCTGACCGACTCAAGGTTGACTCCGCCTTCTATCCTTCCGAGATCAGTAAAATGACCCAGACTGTTTGGGGCAATATACTGACATTTGTAAAATGCTCAGAGTGCTTTAAAGCAATATGGACTGGAGTCTGAGTGCTATTGCTATCCATAATCTAGGACCAGAGTATCTGACAATTCACACAACACCCATTTCCAAATCCAGGTTAGTTGATCTATTTTATAGACAAGGTAACTTCCCATCCATCTATAATGTAATCAATTCTATCAGGCTGCAGAAATTACTTTTTCTGAAATACAAAGTTTTTCTTTGCAATTGCTGGGGGAGCATCAAAGGTGGGCCACACTGATAGCTGGCAAAGAGTGTTCCAGGTATGTGTCTAGCCAAGTCTTGTAAACACAGTCATACATATCTCAACATATAGCCTTGTTGACAGCACAATAAAAAATACATTTTGGAAAAGAATTTTCTTTAAGCAAGTTACTTTCACAATCCAAGGCCATCAAATAAATTCATGCAATTCCATTTCAATGTGTTTTATTGAAAGGTACTCTTGTTGCTCATAGGCATAATAAGACATTTTGAAAATGAGTTCCTTCTTGACATTGTAAACATCTTGAACATAGTTCAGTTTCAATCTTCAAATACTGAAGGCATATAAGATAACATTATTCAATTTAATAACATCCATAAAAAATGATAGTTTGAGGAAACTTCCCATCAGTTTTGTTCTGAAGAGCAGCTTGCAATGAGGTAGAAGTAAATGGTTTGTCCAAAAACAAGTCTTCAGATTTCTGTAATTGTAGTAAGTCTTCTAAATTTGTTACTTTGATTCTAAAGGCAAGCCAGTCAGCTTTAAGTGAGCCATTAGGACAATATTGAATTACACCAACAGTATAGATGCTAAAATTAAAAGAAAAGAATTGTTGCATTGTTTTTCCAATTTTTCTTGTGGCAATTTAAATACAACCAGTAAAATGCCCATACAATAACTTAGGTAGAAAATGAAAATGAACACAATATAATTAGAAACACATTATTACAAAAAGTGATCTTAAAAAGAACCAAAGTCTAAAAGCTATTGAACATTGACAGTTGATTTGATAGATCACTGCTGGGTAGTAGCTGTTGCTTCCTTAGGCTTTTAACATTCAAGAAATCACAATGCACAACTTAAGTTCTTTCTAGTAAAATTCACTCCAACTTTGGGCTGAACAATGCAGAACACACTATGATACAGTAGAATATATTCTCAAATTGAAAAGATAATTAAAACTGTTTAAAGTAGCATAACACTAAATTCTATGCTTTGAAATTATTCAACAATGTTTTACTGAAAGCTTGATACTAATCTAAAACCACAAACATCCCCCCAAATATGTGCTTGATATAAACAAAACTTTTTATGCTTCTAATAGCAACATGTAATTTTTTTTAATCCAAACCAGGGAAGTGCAGTAAAATTAGTTAGCTTCGGTTTGCAGTGAAATGCAGATGTGTCATATCATGCCACCAATTTTGGTATGTGCAAGCAGAGCTAAAGACTGAGGTGAAAGACTGAGGCAAAATCTAAAATGTTAATTCTATTTTTAGACATTGCCAACATTCTCAGCTGGTGTCTGACTTGCATTCTTCAAACAGCTTTAATTTCCAGTGAATATTATGTACTTTTCAATTTCTTTCAAATACTTGGTTACAATATGATACTTGTTAAAAATGTGTTCTTTATGTTAATACACTTTAAATATAGACCACTAAATTTGGCTCTTGAACTCTGTATGACCTAGGACCAAAATATCTTTAAGTCAGTTCCAAACCTCTAATGTGAATCATGGTTTAAAGCAAAGGTGGGGAACTATGGCTCTTTTATGACTTGTGCACTTCAATTCACAGAATTCCTGAGGCATCATGAAGGGGCCATAGTTCCCCACTTATGGTTTAAAGGAATTATCTAATTATGTATTGAATTTTATGTTACTGTTTCTCAATCATTACCATTACTATGAATCAGATGTAGTAACTTTCTTTCCAGTGGTAATGTTCCTACTCACTAGAAAATACATGCATAGCTATTTTACTAATTTAGTGACGGTTATGTTCATTTTTATATTCATTTTCTGCCACCATTTAGTTTAGAAATGCAGAATTGTTAAGGATCAAGCTCTATGATGACTCACGGTTTCACATTTCCAGAGGACAGATAAAACAAAAACAGCTGACTTGTTTGTATTTTAGTCCCAAGCATTGTTTTATAAAAAAAAGTCCTCGGTTTTATTAAGAACCTTGAGAAGATTAAGAAGAGTCTTGTGGTAACACACTATATTGTTGTATAGCTCAGAGCTAACAAAATTGTTGCAATTTAATATTCCTGAAATTAGACTTTCCATAGGTCAGAAGAATCCAACAAATTCTGTTTCAGCACCGGAAAGCTTATATCCTTATTGATTAAACATATGTGGCCAGACAATGTCCCATCCGCTCTTCTTCAGGATTACCACTAAATCAAAAAGAAATTTAAAAATTATTGTAACATAAAAATACACTGATGCAAATATGGAATGAATTAGCATTGTTTACAAATAGTATAGTCTAAAAGAACGAACAGGAATTTATCTCTTTTGAAGATTCCAATTTTTAACTATTCCATTTTTATGTTATTAAACAAAATTGTGTTTATATTATAGGTAGTGCTATACTTACAACAGCTCATTAGTGACCATTAGAAGTTATGACACTGAAAAAAGTGACTTATGAACATTTTTCACACTTACGACTGTTGTATCATCCCCACAGTCAAAATTCATGTGAACACCTTTTGTGACCTTTCAGTGGGGAAGCCAGATTCACTTAACGATCATGTTATTAACAATTGTAGTGATGCACTTAACTATGGCAAGAACATTAGTAAAACAGGCAAAATTCATGTAACAATTGTCTCACTTAGCAACAGAAATTTGGGGCTCAATTGTGATCATAAGTCAAGGACTACTTGTCCTGTAATCTTTGCTGAATGTACTGTCATGGATGGCAACCCTATCAGCAAGGCATTGCTAGAATGAAAGTTTAACATATCCGAAAGGTTCATGGTTTTGCAAAGATGAACTCTCTATTCTCCAATTCATTAAGGTCTTTAAGTTTACAAGTAATCCTCCCTTGCTGACCACAATTGGGGATCAGCAAACCTGTCACTAAGCAACTCATTCATAAAATGAAACATCACAACCCACTTGCAAAATTAGTTTTGACTAGACTTGCAGCTTCCAGCCAGCTTTTCTATTGACTTTGCTTGCCAGAAGCTGGCTATGAAAGTCACAAATGGAAATTACATGACTGTAGGATGCTATGACTATTGTAAAATGTGTACCAGTGCTAAGCACCTGAATCACAATCACATGACCATCGGGATGGTGTGATGGGAAGTTCAAAGATCTGTCTTAACCAAATAAGCAGTAAGGGAGGACTTTGTACTTATAAAAGTACATTTATATAATACAAACCATCAGAAAACTCAACATTGATATTTTTCATAGTTTAGGGCTTTACTTCTTGGCTATTACATGCCCATCTACAATGAACAGTTTTTTGTGCCATTTTAAACTGAAGGCAAGTATATTAGCGACAAGGATGAGCTGTGTTGGCAGTTCAAATCTCACCAGGCTCAAGGTTGACTCAGCCTTCCATCCTTCCGAGGTGGGGAAAATGAGGACTCAAATTGTTGGGGGCAATATGCTGACTCTATAAACAGCTTAGAGAGGGCTGTAAAGCACTGTAAAGTGGTATATAAGTCTGCTATTGCTATATGGGTAATCCTCAGGAGAGCAATTGGGATTGGCTACTATAGCGCTATGTGATGCTGTTGTTAAGTGAGACATCATGTAACTACAAACTGATTTAGCTGCCAGCTTCTCCAGACTGCTGGAAGCCTGCTGTAAAACTCTCAAATGACAATCAGGTGATTGGAGAAACAATTGTGAAAAATGTAAGTTGAAGGAACTAAAGTTAAGTTTTTCAGCACCTTTATAACTTTGAACAGTGGCTAAACAGGGCAGTGGGGAAGCAGGAACTATCGGTATACTGAAACACATTAGGAAACTTGAGAATATAGAACAGACACTAGATTTCAATAGGCTTTCAACATGTTTTCCTAGAGATTATTTTTTCTGAATCATATATACATATACATATTTTTGTGCATACTAAGTTATATCTTCCAGATTCCTAAAAAGATTACTGCAAGTTTTACACTATTTTTATTTCAATTCAAAAATTCAGAATACTTAAACATTCTATATTTTTTTTTGCTGTAACTTTTAAATTATTCTTATGACACCAAGTCAAAAATACAGTTAGAAAGTTCACCTTTTAGGGACCAGTTTCTGGGATGGTGGGAAGATGGGCAATTCTGTAATAACTGTGTTTCAGTTGCCGGGCGGTACGACCAGACACAATCCATTTTAGCTTTTGTCCACTTGGCCTGGAACATTTGCTTGAGGAATATTCTAAGAGGCACTTTGATACAAGTTCTTTCCAAAAGGAAAATTCTCTACTATTTATCTATAGAAAAAAAATGGGAAATTAAAAACCAGTCAGTACCACTCATGAGCA